CCTCCCCCTCCTCCCCGCGCTTCCTTTGCGGCACAGTCCTGTCCCTTCTTAGAAGGTTCAGGTGACATCCTTCACCAATATTTTTGGCGCTCCTACACCCATGATTCCTGGAAATCCGTAACATTTTGAAGTCTAACCGTGCAATCCTTAAAATTTTGAAGCTTAACCGTGCAATTCGTGAAATTTTGAAGCTGTGGAAGGGAACAGGTGCATCAGGCCACATGAACCAAGATTAGGTACTTTACTAATAACGGCATAACATGAACGGCATGCCACAGGTACTTATCTTCATGCCTTCTCCCGCCTTATATCCATAAACATTCAGGCATGTTTTTGTAAAAAGCTAAGCATGATTCGTGTAAATTTGCATCGACAATGGCATTACGTGCAGATAAATAGTGTCGTTATGCAGTATCTATGCGTTGCATCGTGCTACCGTCGATAATTCATAAATCTGTTGACAGATGGCAGTAGTTGTTTCGCGCCTGAACGGTAGGCTGTGCCGCACAACATCCGCACACGGCAGACCACAACTCAAGGCGTAGAGTCTTCACGGACCGTGATACGCTTACCATCAGGGATGCGGAGCCGTGGAAATTTCAGACGGCTCCGGCTCCGGCTCCGGCTCCGGATAAAAAATCGGCTCCGGCTCCGGCTCCGGGTCCGGGTGAAATGTCATGGCGGCTCCGGCTCCGGCTCCGGCTCCGAGTAAAATGATCCGGCTCCGGCGGCTCCGGCTCCGGCTTCTACTCAGTACATCCCCTATGCGATCAATTAAATACGGGTGGAAGAAAAAAGGCGATGGGATTGGTACACGTTGCTTCTGTATTTGTATAACAAGGCTATTTTGAATACCACATTGTTTTACGCCTTGTACTGTCAAACCGAACTAGGTAAATAATTGTTTCCACTTAACCCTATTAGTGGCAGGGGGGGGGGGTTGTTTTCATCCACCCCTCAGGTTTTTCGGGAATATCTCCGAAACCTGAAGCTACGATCCGCTGAAATTTTCTGACTTTTCCTAAAACTAAATTGGGCACATTCCTTGAAAATTTCAAGTTCATAACTTTACCAGGGGCGGCTCCAGAGCACTGGGAAATGGGGGGTCCTATTCGTGAAGCGAGTCATTTGGGCGAAGATCACGATGCTGATGTATTATAACTGTATGCAGGGTAACTTTTAAAGGGGGGAAAGGGGGAAGTTCCCACCTTCGAAAATTCCGCTCCCCTTTCAAATTGTGCGTGAACGGCTAGGGAGGGAAGGGGGAATTTCCCCCTTTCAAATTTATTTTTGAGCCCATTTTCATTCAATTCGCTACTCAGATTCTACAATCATCGTTGATCAGACTATAGTCATCAATCAACGTTGCTGGCGCTTAGATAATTTTCAATTTGAGGCTCCATCCAACCATTTTACGTTCAGTGCAGCGGGAACTCCAGATTTGACCCGATACCGATCGGATGGTCGGTGGGACCGTCTCTTGTCTTGTCTCACCGTCTCTTCGCAATCACTGACATATCGCTACAGGCGTAGAAACCGGGGGGGGACAGGGGTCATGACCTCTTCGAACCAAGGGTCTTCCTTCGAACCAGGGTTCTTCAATCGGTCTTGGCCTAGCAAAAATAGTCACGTGCTAACCTCTCTCTATTTAGAAAGGCGCTACTTGATGTTTGGCCAGGGTAACAGGTTGATACTACTGAATGACATTTGCAAGGGCGCAGTCAAGTTGGGACCTCCCCCGCCCCTTACCGCCAAGGTAGGTATACCTACGTGTGTTTTTTAGCTAATTTTTGTTTGCAACCTAACAATATAAAGTGGCCAGAATCCGGGGAGAGAGTAGGATTTGGGGGTAGGTAAGGTTATGCAGGCGCCATCCTAACAAAAACCTAATGGCATTGGGCCCCCTTTCAGATGCCCCTGGATCCGCCCTTGCCCCGAACTTTATTCCCCCTCTCGACTTTTCCTGTAAAAGTAACCCTGACTGTATGCACCAGTTTTACGAACAGTGAATGAAAGGTATCATGTGATAACATATACAAAGTTATTGTGCATCCTCTTTTGACACGTTTTTGCTATAATAGGCGGATCCAGGCGTCCAAAAAGGGGGGTTATGTTTTACCTCCCAACATAGGTGCCCTGACACCGCCTATGCATGACCAATACAATTGTAGTCGTTCTCTCATAAGAAAATTGTAACATAACAAGACCATTAGGTATCACCCTTTTTAGAAACAGTACCTACCAGTATAACGCCTTTTGGGGCGACTAACGGAGCGAGCGAGAGGGTGGGCCTTGCACGTGCGAAATTGCGAGGGGGTACCTCCAACTGACTTGTGCACGGCACCCTACTAACCGGTCTCTAGCGATGTGCCAAATTTGGGCACAATCGGCCCAGCCGTTCTCGAGATCTGGAAGCGGCACCCTGCACGTGCGCACGTGCAAAATGGGTCCCAACTGACTTGTGCACGGCACCCTACTAACCGGTCCCTAACTGTGTACCAAATTTGAGCGCAATCGGTCGAGCCGTTCTCGAGATCTGGAAACGACCCCTGCACGTGCGCACGTGCAGCAGCACCCCAACTCTGGCACATGGATATGCAGTGCCTAGTGGGTGCCTACCTACATGCCAACTTTCAGCGCAATCGGCCAAGTAGTTACCGAGATATTGCAACAATTACAAAAGTGACACCTCTTCGTTTTGCACGTGGCACGTGCATAAGGGGTCACCCACATGCATCGGGAATAGTCCAATACTTGGTAGAAGTAATGAAGCTACCCTACAAAATTTACCGCATGTAAATCGGTTAAGTGGTTGCTGAGATATAAGCCTCGCAAAAGCGTGACCACGGCCGGCCGCTCATACTCAGAAATTTCCGTTAATCTAAGGAAAGACTACGCTCGCTTCGCTCGCTCCGTAACCAACAAAAACCTTATTTACTATACTTTTTGTGTACCCCCAATCTCAATGATCTGTATCCGCCTATGATTTTTGAAAATGCATATTTTAGGATCCATGTGAATTTCTGGTTCATTCTCTATCGATCGGCAAAAGTTGCGTTAAGATTGGTTCAGAAACCTGGCCGTGATAAACAGCCTAAAATGTATCTGCAATTTGCCCGTTTTTACCCCCCTCTACCCCCCCCCTATTGACATTTTTTAATTTTTATTTTTTTTTAGAAATGTAGATCACGTTGAGCGAGATCGAGTGCCGTTTGAATTTTGAAAATCGGCCCGTTAAAACTCGAGATTACCGGGGGGGTCGTAAACAGCCCCCCCCCCCCTGCCACTAATATAGGTGTAGCCAGGAGCCTGCCACTAATAGGGTTAACCTTTTAGTGGCAGGGGGTTGTTTTCACCCACCCCTCAGGTTTTTCGGGAATATCTCCGAAACCGCTGAAGCTACGATGCTGAAATTTTCTGACTTTTCTTAAAGCTAAATTGGGCACATTCCCTGAAAATTTCAAGTTCATAACTTCCCCAGGGGCGGCTCCAGAGCACTGGGAATTGGAGGGTCCTATTCGTGAAGCGAGTCATTTGGGCGAAGATCACGATGCTGATGTATTATAACTGTATCATGTATGCACCAGTTTTACGAACAGTGAATGAAAGGTATCATGTGATAACATATACAAAGTTATTGTGCATCCTCTTTTGACACGTTTTTGCTATAATAGGCGGATCCAGGCGTCAAAAAAGGGGGGTTATGTTTTAGGGGAGAGTGGGGCAATGGCGGACGGTGGGTAATGCCTGCCACCCATCTCTAGTGAGTACTTTGTCCATCACTAATCAGCTGATGTTGTTTACATTTCACTTGAGCGCCATTCTAGCACGTGGTGCAAGTTTGTCACGGTAGCTCCATTATTTTTATTTTTATAGCGTTAGATGTGTTTTTCGTATCTGATTTTTAATTTTTGTTGCATCTATTTGCTGACTGTGAAATGTGTTAACGCATTTTCAGAAGTGCTGCTTTGCAATGACCTTCAATTAAGCCTTTCTTAGGCGACTGCTGGATGTGAGGCGTTTGCGGCGCAATGCCTTTGACTGCTGCCTGCTTTCTTAAAATAAAGCTGACCTCGGGGTAATACCGGACAGCGGACACGTGTCCGGAATGACTCCACGCGGTTTTGTTTGCGACTTCTGTCGTTAAAGCTCAACGTTTCGGGTTGCTGTGTTTAAGGCTGTGTTAGTTTGCTTGCTGTGTTTACGGTTGTGTTAGTTTGCTGCTCTGTTGGCGCTGCGCTGTTGTGTTGCAGCGAGTGCAGTGTTGTGTTGCAGTGCAGTGTACTGTTAACTGCTGAATACAGTTGTCGTTTCTTAATTCTCACTTAAATTTCCATCGAAAGAACGGTTTAAGGATGAATACCAGTAACGATATTTCGACTTTTGTGCTATTGCACTTAGTGGCCGGCATTACCCCTCGCTTTTTTGCACCTCCATTTTTCACCACATTTTCGCGTAGGCTCTGAATCTGTCATCAGTGATCTGAGATACTAAAACTGGGTGCTATCTGAAAGCCTATTCCTTTGGCTATAACCACAGTCAAAATCACCATAAAATAGCTTCAAATAGCCAAGCTATTGAGCAAAATGCTTATGGTGTCGCCATTGCCCCACTCTCCCCTACCTCTCAACATAGGTGCCCTGACACCGCCTATGCATGACCAAAACAATTGTAGTCGTTCTCTCATAAGAAAATTGTAACATAACAAGACCATTACCACCCTTTTTAGAAACAGCTAGGTACCAACAAAAACCTTAGGTATTTACTATACTTTTTGTGTACCCCCAATCTCAATGATCTGTATCCGCCTATGATTTTTGAAAATGCATATTTTTAGGATCCATGTGAATTCCTGGTTCATTCTCTATCGATTGGCAAAAGTTGCGCTAAGATTGGCCCAGAAACCTGGCCGTGATAAACAGTTTAAAATGTATCTGCAATTTGCCCGTTTTTTACCCCCCTCTACCCCCCTATTGACATTTTTTAATTTTTATTTTTTTAGAAATGTAGATGACGTTGAGCGAAATCGAATGCCGTTGAATTTTGAAAATCGGCCCGTTAGATCTCGAGATATCAGGGGGGGTCGTAAACAGCCCCCCCCCCCTGCCACTAATAGGGGTAGCCAGGAGCCTGCCACAGGGTTAACCGTGCCCACCAAAGAACTGGATACCCATTTTGAGTTCAGCTGACTGGGCTGCGCTCACCAACTGCGGACGGACGACTGCAGGCCATCCCTCGTACATGTAAGTGCATACCGACTCGGTATCAGTGCAGTGCTCGGTATTACCGAGCACTGCACTGGAGTTGCAATTGAACCCGGGATCTCACCACCGCGAGGCTCAACATTCAACCCGCTCTGCGCTGGTGGTGTGGGAAACCATGAGAGCTATGAAGTGCTAAGAAGGATGAAAAGGTGGCATATGTCCATGAAAGAGTATATAACCACGTTAGGCATTAATTTAACCCTCGCCGGCCGAGGGGGGGGGCGGGTGCCGCCCCCCCCATAGGGTTTTTTTCGCGATAGCTCCGAACACGCTGGCGATAGAGAGCTGAAACTTACCTGGCATACCTGACCTTTGATCCAAGCCGCATCTTTTGACACCAACCGCATTTTTGGGTCAGGTCAGGTCACTGACCTATGACGTCATAAGTGAACCTCTGCACGGTCTTCAGATGTCGCAACTTCGCAACGCCCTCACTGCCAGAGGAGATGTCACAGGCAACTGAAACTTGCAGGATCTAGTATCCATTATGAGTCTCACAACTTGTATATCTCGGATTTTTCCTAAAGGTCATATGAGGTCAGGTCATTTTCGTGACCTCACCATTATAAGTCAATGGGGAAAAATGAAAACTGCTATTCTGGTGCCGGGAACGATCTCCAACTATCTCAAGCACACAGAATCTTGATTTGATGCACTCCTTGCAATGTTAGATGCGTCACTTTTGCAATGTTGACCTTGCGTGACGTCATTTATGTCGTCATCAAGGTGATATTAGTTTTTCGTCAATAACTCTTGATCAAATTGAGCTAGCGAGTCGAGAAAGCCACCAATGGACTCAGGAAGACCTGCCGAATCGAATGATATGCGACATGACCTCTTTCGACCAACTTCGTGACCTGGGGGTGCTGACCTGACCTTGACCTGAGGTCAACACCCCAAGTTGACCTGACCCGGACAAAAAGTATATCATTTGACGCGCCTGAGCGAGGCGAACACGATGCTGCCAAAATCGCGGCTCTGCGGCCGTTTTTTGCGAAGTTATTCACCAAAAACTGAACCGTACCCTGGGGCACTTGACCTGACCTCAGAGGTCACCGGTTGACCTAGGACCTTAAAATCGGGTACCAATCTCTGCGTCTCGTAACGGCGCACACGCTCGTTTTTCCCGCGACGCGCTAGCTCCACCAGGGGCGAAACGGTGAGGGGGTCGTACCCGCCCCCCCCCCCTCGGCCGGCGCGTATGTAGAAAACCAATAGGTCCGGCGAGGGTTAAGGAAGGTCATGTACCGATTTTTAGGGCCACCTTAAAAACTGTTTGGAAATGGATTTAGGTATTAGCAGCTGATGCTTGGCTTGAATACCTATGCGCCACTTTAAGTTAAAGTATCGTTTTCGAATTTTTCGAAATTCTGAACTGTTTTGTATACTTAGGTACCTGCGTGTTTGCCTTTTTTTTAATAATTCTATCCTATTAGGCTGACGAAGGAAGCTGTAACTCTTTCGAAAGCTCCCAATAAAAACTTAAAGCTGGTGTCTGAATGATCATATACCAAACTTCGGGGAGTAAATATTTCTTTTTCCGTGTATACGCCGACTGATCGGTTCTGTAGATAGGTGGCTGTCGGTTTTCACAGATGTGACGGGCACTGGGGGGGGGGGGGGGGGAGGCGTGCGGACCACGTGCCATGGCTGCTTGTCAAAACTCAGCGTGCGGCTCATGGGGAACGAAACTCTTGTGCGAACACTTGTACACTTGTATAACCAAACCGTCCCGAACACTTGTTTTAACCCTCGCCCGCATAGGGGGGGGGGTCGAACAGACCCCCCATAGTTTTTCGCAAATAACTCGCGTTAACAGCGGCCGATCGCGACGAAACTTTCAGTACCCTCGCGTTAATCAATTTTACACCTACCCTGAAAATTTCATTACCCTGACCCCAATGACCTTTGACCTGTGACCTACTTTTCGAGACCATGTTTGGCCGGAATCGCGATTCGGCGTGTCGGCTCGCATTAGCCGCGCGTTTGCAGTCTTTTCGTGGTTTCAAGCGTTCAAACATGTGATATGATGTTGCCCTCATGCATTAGGGGGTGTGTCAAGGTCACCTGAAGGTCAGGTCAGGTCATTGACCTTTGGTGACCTCGGTTCACTTTTTCGAGTTTTACATGTTTTTAGGTCAGTTTTTGGAGCTGAATTCGAATTTAGCAACCATATCAACATTTACGAAGTAGTTTTGGTGCCTTCGTAACATGTTACGAAGCTGTCAGAGGCGGTTGACACCTACTAGGAATACCCGGCAGGACCCCTACTGGATGACCTGACCTGACCTGACCCGACCTGGACTAAATGCATAAAGACATCATCTGTGATCAAAACTAACATGATATTCGTGATCGGCGCCCCGAAAAAACCCATAGCAGCCACACTTTACGACGTTCTAACACAGGGGTCGGCAAATGGTGGGGCATGCCCCCTTTGGGGGTAATGGAGCCGTTTCGGTGGGGGTAATGAGGGATTCTGAGAAAGCCTATGTTTTTAGAGTTTGTAGCTCCAGTGATGGAGCCATCGTGACTGTTGCATCCCAGGATTCAAAGATTAGCCCAGGCCAAAGGCACAGCAGTCAGCACACATTGATTAGATACCAATTTTCACGTACCTGCTCGCCTCACCATCTCACCCCTCGGCCCTCCGTACAGTCGTACAAAAGCAGCTGCAGCTTTTGACCGTCGCCCGTCTGTTGGCGTTTCAACAGCCGCTAACATAAGGGGGAGGAGTCGATCGGACCCCCGCGGCCTCTCGGACTCTGATATGGAGCTGTGCATAAAAAAGACGAGCGTGCTACCCATGACAATAGGAAGCCGCTGCTGCCCATTTTTAAGGTCCTTGGTCATTCCGTCTCATTCAAGAGGCCAGAGGGCAATGACAAGTGTCGGGAAAATCGGGACCCGCTATAACTCCTTGAAGTGAGAGTTTATGGCTCAAGATGATCTCCAGAAAAGCTCATAAGCCAACGGTCATTATGGGTCCAGAGGCCAGTTTTACCAACAGAAAAATAGCCGCCTGCCGGAATTTTTGCCTAAAGATCGTTTCACATATGGAGCGTAAACGGTACAGCCCTATCCGCTTACGAGCCCATCGCGTTTACGCTCCGTATGTGAAGCGGTCTTGAGGCCAAAAATTCCGGCAGGCGGTTATTTTTCTGTTGGTAAAACTGGTCTCAGGTCATGATATGTTCCGGGCTGGTAAAAAAATATGACGGGCTCGAGGGTACAATTTGGTCGTGATCCAATGCCTTTTACGTGAGCTTTTAACGAAAAACCACCCGCCGCCCCTATACGTACAGTGTGTCTAAAAAGAATGTACCGTCGCCACTACGTGGCGCTGGTGTCGCGAGCCGGTAGTTGGCTGAATCCGCACCAGACCACATATTCCCAAGCGCTAGGTGACAGCTGCGCAGCGGCCGGTAGTAGCGTAAGCCCGAACCTTCGTGACACGACCCCGGGGGGGGGGAGGGAGGGGAGCGGGCGGGGCAGCGCGTGTAGGGAGGGGTGCTCCAGCAAGCTGGCAGTTGTCGCGGCCAAAGGTCAAGGGGTCACACACCAAGCGAACGGACGCTGATGTGGGTTCGTGGGGATCATGAACTTGTGTGTGGTAGGTGCGTCTTGCGATGCACGGGTGATACGCCAGGTCTATGTAAGCCAAAGGATTCAGGGGAGAGCTGAAGAAAAACACCTGGTCAACTACGGCGAATAATAGTGCTGAAAAATGGAAAGTATGGGTCAATGCAAGCCTTCATGACTATAAACAACTTTCTGAGGACGCAAAGGCCAGCATTGAATAACGATATCCGGATCGAAATTAGCAATGATTTATAATTAAATGCCGAACTAATAGCGCTGCAAAACCCTCCTAGCAAATTGTCAAGTCCTTCCGCGTTCAAACAATCACCTGTAAGGTTAGAACATTAATGGCCAGGTAAAAACATGGTCGGGATTTGATTAACCGGATTATAAGTCGATTTTTTAGTCGGGATTTGATAAGTCGGATTTTTTTTACGCCAACCGCATTTTTAAGTCAAGTCAGGTCACTGATCTATGACGTCATAAATGAGCAGTCCTAAAATGAACTGTGTGAAACTGTCCTAAACTGTCCAACATTTTAGGACTGTGTGCACACTCCTAAAATGTTCCAACTTCGCAACACCCTCAGTGCAGAGCTTTCATAGGGAGATGAAACTTACAGGATCTTATAGTATGATCGAGAGTATCACAACTTGTATAAATGTATATCTCGGATTTTCTGAAGGGTCGCCTGAGATCAGGTCAGTCTCTCACCATTAAAAGTCAGGGGAATATAGAAATTGCTAGTTTGGTCCGGAAATGATATACAACTATCTCAAATTCTCAAGCACACGGAATCGTGATTTCATGCGCTCCTTGCAAGGTCTGATGCTTTAATTTTGCTTTGTTGATCTTGCGTGACGTCATTTATCACGTAACCAAGGGTATCAGTTTTTCGTCAATAACTCCCGATCAACTAAAGCTACCGAGGCGATAAAGCCACTAATGGACATGAAAAGACCTGCCGAATCGATTGATATGCAATATGACCTCCTTTGACCAGCTTCGTGACCTGACGGGCTGTGACCTGACCTTGACCCGAGGTTAACACCTTAACTCTCGCCCGTATTGGTGTTTTTCCAGCCGCAAACGTCTAAGGGGGGGGGTCCGTTGGACCCTCCCTTGCCGTTTCGCCCCTGATCGAGCTAGAGCTTCGCGGAAAAACGAGCGTGTTGGCCGTGACGAGAGGAAGTCGATGATACCCAATTTTAAGGTCCTAGGTCATCGGTTGACTTTCCAGGTCAGGTCAATGACCCAAAAGTCGGGAAAATCGGGCCTGTTAGAAAGTCGTAAAGCGTGGCTGCTATGGGGTTTTCGGGGTGCTGATCACGAATATCATGTTAGTTTTGATCACAGAAGATGTCTTCATGCATTTTGGCCAGGTCGGGTCAGGTCAG